CTGTGGTCCCAGCTACTTGGGAGGTGGAGGCAGGAGACTCGCTTGAGCCCAGGAGTTGGAGGTTGCTGTGAGCGTGATGCCACGGCATTCTACCCAGGGGGATAGCTTGAGGCTCCGTCTCAAAAAACAAAACAAAACAAAACAAAACAAAACAAAACAAAAACAAACTTAAATGCACCCGTCTTGGCCTCCCAAGTGCTGGGATTACAGGATGAGCCACCACATCCAGCCTTGTTTTACAGGATTTTAATCTCTAATAATTTAGAAGACAGAGAAATGATTTTATTTCTACTAATGGCTTATTTTTGTTGCAGTTTGGTTGGAGCTGGGTTTGAACCTGCCACCTTTGGTATATGGGGCCAGCACCCCTCTTTTTTTGCAGTTTTTGGCCATGGCCAGCTCGAACCCACAACCTCCAGTATATGGGGCCAGTGTCCCACTCCTTTGAGTCACAGGTGTTGTCACTATTTTCATTTCTTTGAAAAGTTCACACTTCTACTCCCTGCCATATGCATCTACTTTCAAAGACCTAAGGCAAATTTCACATAAATGGAATTATTCAATTTCACATAAATGGAATGTAGTTTTGGCTCGGTGCCTGTGGCTCAAGTGGCTAAGGCGCCAGCCAAAAAAAAATGTAGTTTTGTGTCCTGCTTCTTTTATTTACTCTTCTTTTGAGACAGAGCCTCAAGCCATCACCCTGGGTAGAGTGCCGTGGCATCACAGCTTACAGCAACCGCTAACTCTTGGGCTCAAGCAAGTCTCTTGCCTCAGCCTCCCAAGTAGCTGGGACCACAGGCGCCCGCCACAACACCCAGCTACTTTTTGGTTGCAGCCATCATTGTTGTTTGGCATGCTGGGGCTGGATTCGAACCCGCCAGCTCAGGTGTAAGTGCCTGGCACCTTAGCCCCTTGGGCCATAGGCGCAGAGCCAGATTTCCAAGTCTTTCAGGCATAGTTGGAAAGGAGGCACATGAGAAGCTAAGCCAATTCCGCCTGGTAAACCAGCCACACAGCTTCCTTCCGAACAACAGACAGAGTGTGCAGGCCAGCCTATGCAGGGCCATGCTTATCTTTTCCACATTGTTTCAATTTTGGTGTTTGTGCTGTGGAAGCAAGCACTGAAAACATTCATTACTAACCAGCTCTCAAGCAACACTGAAGTTGTTGGTTCTGGGACCACATACTGCAACCAGTGGATGAGATAACCGGTTATCTGTCAACTCTGTAAACCACGGTTAAGTTTCCTTATTTTTGATGATTTAATTTTGGTCATTTACAGGAATGTTCCCACTCTCAGGAACATGTGCTGAAATATTTAGGGACAAAGATATGATCTTCAATCTACTTTCAAATGACTCAGAAAAGAAATATATAGAGAACAATAAAGCAAATGTGACAAAATGTTAACAATTGGTCAGTATGGGTTAAGATTTTTGGCTTGGAGCCTGTGGCTTAATCGGCTAGGGCGCCAGCCACATACACCTAAGGTGGCAGGTTCGAATCCAGCCTGGCTCCACCTAACAACAATGAAGGCTGTAACCAAAAAAAGGCCGGGAGTTGTGGCAGACGCCTGTGGTCCCAGCTACTTGGGAGGCTGAGGCAGGAGACTCGCTTGAGCCCAGTAGTTGGAGGTTGCTGTGAGCTGTGATGTCACAGCCTCTACCCAGGGGCACAGCTTGAGGCTCTGCCTCAAAAAGAAAAAAAAAAAAAAAGATTATTGGTCAATTCTCAGTTTTCTTTTTTTGAGACGGAGCCTTAAGCTATCCCCCTGGGTAGAGTGCCATGGCATCACGCTCACAGCAACCTCCAACTCCTGAGCTCAAGTGAGTCTCCTGCCTCAGCCTCCCAAGCAGCTGGGACTACAGGCGCC